GTGAGGCAGGTGTGAACCCTCCAGGGACAGCCCCAAGCCACAGGGTGCTGAAAGGGTCTTGCCGTAGGTGGCCTCAAGTAACAAGCTGCTCACCTTGAATCCCGAGAGGGAGGCTAGGTAGAAGCCTGAGGAGTTGCTGGGGATAAGGCAGAAGGGCTGGGCCTGGGGTCACCAGGGAGCATAGGGCAGGGCAGGACGGAGACAGCAGGACCCTGAGGTCTCTCATGAGAGCTGCAGGTGTGGGCAGGGCCAGGAAGGACACTCACAGGAGTGGGCAGCTAAGAGCAACAAAGCAACAAGCAGAACTAAGGCAGAGCCTGGCAAAGGGGCCTCAACCAGGTGCTGAGCTTCCAGCCCACGTGTCAGCCTCAAGGCTGGGCCAGGCTCCGTCCCTGAGGACTCGGGGCCAGGCAGAGATAGCAGAAGGCCAGTTAGTGAGAGCAGGAGCCAGGCGACTTTCATTCCAGGGAGCAGCACTGTGGCTGGCCCAGGAGCAGGAGGGAGGAAGGGCAGGATGGGGCCTCTGCAAGCCTCTGGGGACAACCCGAGTACCTTCGTTTTCTCTATATTTGTCTGATCCTCTGGTAGAATGACATTTGGAGGTTCAGAAGTGGCCTGAGCTCAACTATCTTGGCCACAGCTCAGGCCTAGGAGGCCTGCAGCTCAGCAGAGCTTCTTACCTGAGATGCTTTATAAAGGTCCCTTCTCAGCCATCCCTGGCCCTGGCTCTCCTAAACTCTGGGAAAGGGGTCTGCCCAGGCAGGCCTGCCCACTAACCTCTGAGAACCCATGAGGGCTGGGCGTAGTAGCTCATACCTGTAATCCCAGCACTTTGGGAGGCTGAGGCAGGAGGATCGCTTGAGCCCAGGAATTTGGGACCAGCCTGGGCAACATGGCAAAAGTCTCTCTTTACTATTAAAAATACAAAAATTAGCCAGGGGCACTGAGGCAGGGTCACCTGAGCCCTGGAGGTCAAGGCTACAGTAAGCCGTGATTATGCCACTGCACTCCAGCCTGGATGACAGAGTGAGACCCTGTCTCAAAAGATAAAAAGAGAACCATGGGGACTGACATGAGCTTCAGGTCATGTTGTCTGGGTTTGAGACCTCCATCAGGCACTTAGTAACTGTCTGTCTTATAAGTAAACCCGAGCCTCTGTTTCCTTCCATGTAAATAATGAATAACAATGATTAATAGCTACCCCATAAGATTGAGGTGGTAATTTTATTTTTTGTCCTCTTTTTAAATTTTTAAAATTTCTGTGGGCACATGGTAGGTTGTGTGTGTGTGTGTGTGTGTATATATATTTGTGGTGTACATGAGATGTTTTATGCAGGCATGCAATGTGAAATAAACACACCATTGAAAGCAGGGTATCCATACCTTCCAGCATTTACTCTTTCAGTGAAAAACAATCCAATGACACTCTTTAAGTTATTTTAAAATGTACAATTAAGTTATTATTGACTATAGTCACCCTATTATGTTATCAAATAGTAGGTCTTATTTTTTAACTATTTTTTGTGCCCATTAAGCATTCCCACCTTCCCTCCAGCCCTCAGCTGCCCTTCCTAGCCTCTGGTAGCCATCCTTTCACACTCTATGTCCATGAATTCAATTGTTTTGATCTTTGGTGTGATAACTTTTTTTCTTTTGAAGTGGGAGTCTAGCTCTGTCACCCAGGATGGAATGCAGTGTCACTACCTCAGCCCACTGCAACCTCCACCTCCCAGGTTCAGCCAATCCTCCCACCTTGGCCTCCTGAGCATTTGGGGTTATAGGCACATACCACCAGACCCAGCTAATTTTTGTATTTTTAATAGAAATGGGGTTTTGCCGTGTTGGGCAGACTGGTCTTGAACTCCTGGCCTCAAGTAATCTGCCTACCTCAGCCTCCCAAAGTGCTTGGAATACAGGCGTGCACTACCGTGCCCAGTCCTGTAGTAACTTTTTTTTTTTTTTTTGAGACAGAGTCTTGTTCTGTCGCCAGGCTGGAGTGCAGTGGCACAATCTCAGCTCACTGCAACCTCTGCCTCCTGGGTTCAAGCAATTCTTCCGCCTCAGCCTCCCAAGTAGCTGGGACTACAGGCGTGTGCTACCACGCCCAGCTAATTTTTGTGTTTTTAGTAGAGACAGGGTTTCACCATGTTGGCCAGGATGGTCTCTATCTCTTGACCTCATGATCTGCCCACCTCAGTCTCCCAAAGTGCTGGGATTACAGGCATGAGCCACTGCGCCTGGCCCTGTAGTAACTTTTTAAACAATGTACTTAAAAGATTCTTAGCACAAGGTCAAGCAAAACCTAAATGCTCAAAACATACTTTTTAAAGGTATTATTATTATTACCAGTGACAACTTCAGTCCCTGCCACAGAGGGCTATGGGGACCACCCCAGTATCTTTTTCTCTATATATTTTTCTGATCATCTGGCAGAGTGGCATTTGGAGGTTCAGAGGTGGCCAGTGACTCCAGCTTAAAAGAGCTGTGAAAAACGATGAAGAAACAGGAATCACTCCACCTAGCCCAGAGCCTTCCACACTCCCAGCCATTTCACTGGGAGAGATTCTGATGCCAACTTGAGTCCCTTCATCCACACCAGAGCACAGCCAGGGCCCAGACATGGGGTTGGTGCAGCAAGACTCTCCGTTCATCCCAAAGAAAATGAAAACTAGGCAGGTGTGGTGGCTCACACCTGTAATCCCAGCACTTAGGGAGGCCAAGGCAGATGGATCACTTGAGGTCAGGAGTTTGTGCCCAGCCTGGCCAGTATGGTGAAAAATTAGCTGGGCATGGTGGCATATATCTGTGATCCCAGCTACTCAGGAGACTGAGGCAGAAGAATTACTTGAACCTGGGAAGTGGAGTGCAGTGAACCAAGATTGCACCATTGCACCCCAGCCTGGGCAATGGAGTGAGACCTTGTCTCAAAAAAAAAAAAAAGAAAGAAAATGAAAACTCTTCAGGGCTATCTTCTGATGCTCCTGATGCCTCTTTTTTTTTTTTTTTTTTAATATTATTTTGTTTTTTTTTTTTTTTACCTAATAGAGTTTCTCTTTTGTTGCCCAGGCTGGAGTGTAGTGTGCAATCTCGGCTCACTGTGGCCTCTGCCTCCTGGGCTCAAGCAATTCTCCTGCCTCAGCCTCCTTAGTAGCTGGGATTACAGGCATCCACCACCACATCTGACTAATTTTTTTGTATTTTTAGTAGAGACAGGGTTTCGCCATGTTGACCAGGGAGATCTCAAACTCCTGACCTAATGGAATCCACCCACCTCCACCTTCCAAAGTGCTGGGATTACAGGCTTGAGCCACCATGCCCAGCCAACTCCTGCTGCCTCTTCACCCATAATTTTTCCCATCTCACCTCCGAAGACCAGCCAAACAGAAGCTAAAGAGAACTGCTCCAGCTCCTCCCTGCTCGCAGGTCCTGCTCCAACACAGAGGGAAGTCATGGCCCTGATATGTCTGTCCTGTCTACACGTAGAGGGTGGCTTCTCTGTCCCCAGAAGCCCCTATCTGTATCCCTCTCACCCCCGAGACCCTACCTCGGCCTCTCCTTCTTGCTCCTCCTTCCCCAGTCCCCTACTTTCAGGCCCCCACGGCTGACAGCCCCTGGTGGTTCCAGGAATTAGCAGACAGCATTCTGACTCCAGGCTTGCTCTTTGGACCCCTCCCCACACCCTGGCCCATTCCAGTACAAGGGGGATTTGGTTGCCTTCATTACAGACTATAGCACAAAAACACAATAAAATAAAATGAATGTTTTCTCAGCGAAAATCCATTAGATGAGTTATTGTTGTAATTTAATAATGGGATGGGAAACTAGAACACATTATTGAAGTATATAATTAAAGTGAATCTATTTTAAAGTCCTTTATTGATCAGTAGCTCTCAGACCCCAGTCTGTCTTTTGCCTTCACTCCCCTCTCCTGGCATCCCTCTTCCCTTTTTCTGAGCCTGAGGAGGGGGCTGGGTGTCACGGATTTCTTTGACGTTGTCAGTACCTTGGTGGCAAACACAGCTTCCTGCTCTTTTCAAGGGAGGATTCTAGCCCTGGCACCCCTGAGGCTCCAAGCGGGCCTCCCTCTGTCAGAGCAGGGGCTAAGCCCTCCCAGTGCTCTGAAGGCCGCTGTCTCCTTCCAGCCTCGTGCACATCAAGGACAGGGAGCTCTGGCGATGAAGTGATGGGGGCAGGTGCACGGGGCTTTGTAGATGTCAGGGGCAGGATGGTTGCTGACCTCCCTGAAGGCCTGATAATCCCTCGGGATGCCGGACCCAGTGCCATGTTTCCTGGAGCTCAGTGGCTGCCACTTCCTTCTCTGCAGCCTTCCTTTTCAGCTCCAGAGAGGTGCCCCAAGACATGGACCTCAAAGCCCCAAGGGAATGCCCCAGCCCAAGGCACCTCCAGGCTGAATGCACAGTGACTCTGGGAATGCAGATGCCACACTCACCCCTCACCTGCTTGGCTGCAGGAGGTAGTTGTTGAGCCCGGGTACCTCTGAGAGTGGAATTCTCCCCCAGGATTTTCAAGTTCAGAGCCGTCTTGGGCTGCTTCCCATATGAAGGAAGAAAGCTGGGTGGGGTTGGGGGGGGGAGCATGCCCTGCCTGCTTAGCCAAGACTCTGCCTCTGAAACCACCCTTCAGTGTGCTCAGAAGTTCAAGAGCTCAGGGATCCCTCTCAGTCCCCATCTGGCATCTGTTCCCAGGTGGGAGCACCTAGAACCTGCTTAGAAAGCGCTTCTTGGAGCATGTAAGAGCTGCAAGGCTCTGAACTAAAGAAGGAGCCAAAATTCATAACAATGGTGACAAAGAGCCAGTAGCAGAGGGGCTGGCCTTGGAGCAGCCACTTACAGGACTGGGAAGGGGAGAGCTGAGAAGGGAAGGGGCTCTGGAGGCAAAGGAAAAGCAGGCAGTGCAAGAAAACTCAAAAAGGATCACGGGGTAAGGGTGGGGTGCCAAAGACAAACATCCCCCAGCCCTACCCTCCAGCCCCATCTGAGGTCTAGCTGCCATGCCCATGGAGCTCAGGAGGACCCAAAGTCTCTCTGCACAGCGCAGCCCCCAGCAACCCCAGACACCTGGTCAAGGCCTCTGGCTTTTCTCTACACTCCCGTGTCCCTGCAATACTTCCTCATCTGAGATGAGAAGAACAATCGGAGTGGAGGTGAAAAGGTGGAAGCCCAGTGGGAATCCCCCATTAGATCTCCATCTGGGCATGGCCTTCTGAACCCTATGGCACTGGGCTAGTGCCTGGGTGGGAGGTACCATCAAAGGTGCAGCTCCTTCCCTGAGATGGCCCAGGTAGGCACCTTCTTGCCTCATGCAGCCTGAACAAAATCCTGCTGGTCCTGTCATCTGCCCCACTCTCCAGAGGAGAAGTGCGCTGTTTCAGAAGCCACCCTCCAGTCAGCGGATAGGAATACTTTTGATACCCAGAAAGCTGTATGCAAGAACATGATGTACTTCTCCAGGCCATGAGCATGTGCTGAGCTTCCACTGCAAACTAGGCTCTGCGCTGGCCCCAGGGTTCAGGGATAGCTGGCAGGGGGAATTTTCTCTGGCACATCCTCTATTCCCTTCCCATCCATGCCCACGCTGGCTGTGTGCCTTCTGCAATTCATTTCAAAATTGGAGCTTCCCATTGCTCCTCCATGGTGAACAAGACCCAGGGCACAAGCAAAGCCCTGAGAGAGGACAGGATAATTCACCAAACTAAATGGAAAGCCAAATCCTGACACTGAAACTACTCCCCCATACGGACAGTGTGCTGGCATCTCCCCTGATCATTAGGCAGCCCCTCTGGGTAATGTTGGTGGTATCAGAGTGCTATGGACTGAACTGTATCCCCTCCAAATTCATATGTTGAAGCCCTAACCCCCAAACCTAACAGTGTGGTGCCATTTGAAGATGGGGTTTTGGGGATGTAATTAATATTAGATGAGGTAATGAGAGTGGGACCACCTTGATGGAATTAATGCCTTAATGAAGAGATACCAGAAGAATCATTCCCTCTCTGCCATATGGGCACACAGCAAGAAGGTGGCTGTCTGCAAACCAGGAAGAGAGCCTCATCAGAGCCAACCATGCTGCTCCCTGATCTCAGACTTCCAGCCTCCAGAACTGCAAGAAAATAAATTCCTGTTGTCTAAGCCCCCAAGACTATGGTATTGTGTTCCTAAGTGTGCTTTTTAGAGCTGATTAACAGGCATGGAATAAGGTTTGCTTTACAGGTCACAAATAACTCTCTAGAAACAAAACATGGAAACAAGAGTTTCCTCTGCCCCAGATGCCAGGATGGCAGCCATCTGGATGCTATCTGAATTACACATTTTCCCTACCACCCTCCTGTGTGTCCACAGCTGGCTTTGCTGTGATCTACCAGGACCAGCAGCTACCAGCCAGTGCGCTGGGTGCACAACCCCAGATGCGTGTCCTTGGTCTGCCATGTGGGGCTTTCCGGCTCTGAGCTGTGTGAGTGGGATGAAGAACCAACAGAGGAAGTTTAAGCTACACTCTCCCATGTCCCAAGTACACACTCCACCTGGGCAGCTCCTGGAATTTCCACCAACTGTATGTCGGTTGAGGGAACACCACAATTGCTGCCATTGTAAACAGTCTGGGTGCAGGAGTGGGCTGGGAGACACATACCTGTTAGTTTTTACACATAGCTGGGGTTTTAGTCCAGCTGGCCCTCAAATTAAAATCCTACCTTACAGCTTCATTATGTTGGTCACACCCCTAGCTATGTAACTAATGCTGTGCTTTATTGAGAACTTGCTACAGAACAAGCATTTCATTAAATATTCACATACAGTATTTCATTTATTTATTCTGTGAGGAAAGGGGAGATAGTATCTGATACGGTTTGGCTCAGTGTCCCCACCCAAATCTGATCTTGAATCATAATCCCCATGTGTCCAGGGAGGGACCTGTAATCTCCACGTGTGGAGGGAGGGAGGTGATTGGATCATGGGGGCAGTTCCCCCCCTGCTGTTCTTATGATAATGAGTGAGTTCTCACGAGATCTGATGGCTAGATAGTGTTTGGAAGTTCCCCTTGTTCTTGTCTCTCCTGCCACCATGTGATGAAGGTGCTTGCTTCCCCTTCACCTTCTGCCATGATTGTAAGTTTCCTGAGCCCTCCTGAACCAAGTGGAACTGTGAGTCAATTAAACCTCCTTCCTTTATAGATTACCCAGTCTCAGGTATGTCTTTATAGCGGTGTGAAAACGAACGGATACACTATCTCTACCTCCATTTTATATATGAGAAAACTGAGGCTCATGGAGGGCAGATAACACATCTAGCACCACTCAACTAAGAAGCAGTCAAGCTGGATTCACACCCAGACGTTCTGGCTCCAGACCCTGCATCTTCATCACTGTCTACTGGAGCCATCCTTGCTGTCACACCTGGAACAGCAGCCAGCACATGGAAGGCTGTCAGTGAGTGGTGGCTACCCTCTCACCCCATGCTTACAACTGTGGCGTGGCCTCTTGTGTAAGTCAACCAACCTAAGCTCCCACATAGGTCTCTGCATGGGGTTATTAATTCACTTATTAGTTAGGGCTGCATAACAAATTATGCCAACACATAGTGGCTTAAGACACCAACTTGGGAAGGATCTATTTCCAAACTCATGTGGTTGTTGGTAGAATTCTGGTTTTTTTTTGTGTGTGTTTTCTTTTCTTTTTTTTTTTCTTTTTTAGATGGAGTTTTGTTCTGTTGCCCAGGTTGAAGTGCAGTGGTGCAATCTTGGCTCACTGAAACCTCTGCCTCCTGGGTTTAAGTGATTCTCCTGCCTCAGCCTCCTGAGTAGCTTGGATTACAGACATCAGTCACCATGCCCAGATAATTTTTGTATTTTTAGTAAAGATGAGGTTTCACCCTGTTGGTCAGGCTGGTCTTGAACACCTGACTTCAAGTGATCCACCTGCCTCAGCCTCCCAAAGTGCTTGGATTACAGGTGTCATCCACCAAGCCTGCTGAAATTCTGGTGTTTTTGCAAGCTGTTAAACTGAGAGCCTCAATTTCTTGCTGACTCTCAGCTAGGGGCCGACCACTCAAAGCTCCTTGACACCTGCCCCTTCCATGGGTAACTCACAATGTGGCCACCTGCTTCATCAACGCCAGCAAGGAAGAGAAGAATGCTATCTTCCTTGCTAGATTAATTCCTAAATTAGAATCTAATTGCACAGTCCCCACCCACACTCAAGGTGAGGGAACCACACAACAGCATGAATAGCAGGAGGTGGGACTTGAGGCAGGACACCCAAGGGTCTCTCAGTCAAAGGGTAACATGACAGTCACAGATGATCATGTCCCAGATCCACAAATGCTGGAGGAGAGGCAAGGGCAAGTGAAGGAGTCACCGAGGCCAGCTTAGCATTGGTGTTCACATTTCAGATTCCCACCAACACCTGTGATGTTGCCCAGCCACAAGGACACATCCAATAGATAAAGATGCTGTTGCTATGGAGTCCTGGCATAGGCAGACCAGGGCTAGAAGTGATCAAGATAATTTGCAAATATCAAGGCAGTCAACCCTAGACTGAGCCCCATGAGCCAGTAGAATATATGTTTTCCTCACTGCTGCATCCCAGCACCTAGCAGTGCACAGGACTACTTCCTGCCCAGCCAATATCTGCTGGGTGAAATGAATGGATCCATTGATGGCAGCAATCAGGACTGGCTTCCACAGAGGGTCATTTGTGAGGAGGGGGAGAAGGCAGGAGAGGAGGTGTGAGGTAGGTAGCTGGGCATGGGACAGGTAGTATGCAGCACTTACTCCTCTTCCATGCCTGTCTCCTCATCATAAATGGCGAGTAAACGCAGTGCCTCATGCCTGTAATCCCAGCACTTTGGGAGGCTGCGGTAGGTGGATGACCTGAGGAGAGGAATTCAAGATCAACCTGGCCAACATGGTGAAACCCTGTCTCTGCTAAAAATACAAAAATTAGCCAGGTGTCCTGGCATGCACCTGTAATGGAAGCTACTCAGGAGGCTGAGGCACAAGAATCACTCGAACCCAGGAGACAGAGGTTGCAGTGAGCCGAGATTGTGCCACTACACTCCAGCCTGGGCAACAGAACAAGACACCATCTCAAAAAAAACCAAAAAACAAAAACAAACCAAAAAAATGGTAAATAAAGAAATGAACTATCCAAGGAACCAGAGAAATCCTCCAACCACATCGTTGACCTGTGCTAGTTTCAAAGGGGATACTATATCCACAGAAAACACAGGTAAACTTCAGTTGCATAGGGCAAGTAGGGAGATGATTTTCCCCCTGGAGCCTGGACTCCCCTTCCAAGCCACAGCCCTTCACCTTTAGGAAGAAAGAAAAGGCTTATCATGTGACGAGAGTCCTTGTCCAAAGAAAGGAAATGCAGTCTCGTTAAAAGCCCAGTGGCAATACTTCCCTAACACAATGAGTGCTGGTGACAATGTCTAATGAAGACTTTTATGACAGGGATGTAATTGTAAAAAAAAAAAAAAAAAAAAAAAATTAAAAAATTGGTTTCAATGCTTTGCCATCCAAAAGTTCATTTGTTTCCTCATTCATGCACTAAATAAGCCCCTAATTAATCTTGAATCTCAGAGAAAGGTGACTAGATTGCCATTTTCCCCATAAGGACGCACTTCACATTTTGGGAAGTTTGAAGAGGCTCTTCAGCATTTTCCTTTAATGGTGCTTTATCAGCATTTTAGAGAAGTTTCATTAGGCTGCCTAAGGCTGCTAATTGCATTACCATATTTTTAAGCCTCATGGGTTCCAGTCAGATTCATTGTTCTCCCAATCCTCCCACTATCTAAGGATTTGACACGTCGGAGATCCACCCATTGAGGGGAGAGGGCACCGCTCACTCCAGCAGGGACTGTGTTGCTTTCTCTTCTCAAGGAAAATTTAGCCTCAAAAGTCATTGTGACGTCACCACTCCTAGGGAGAAAAAAGAGCTCCGGCTTTCCAGTCAAGAAAAAAAACAAAAGGACTGTGTGTGTGCATGTGTGTGT